TTTTTTTTTTTTTTTTTTTTTTTTGAAGTATATAAACTATTTTATCAGTAAGGCATTCTAATAAATCAAATTTCTTACACTATGCTACCATAGAAAAGCAATTATAGGGAAAAAGTCCTCACCTAACATGTCGTCCATCTCCATAAGCATCTTTTACTGATACAGATTGTGCTTCTAATTGTTCCTTAATCTGATGGAGAAATTTGCAATGTCAACTCAATAAATAAAAACTGAGTCATCTTGAAAAAGATGAAGAAAATGTAAAAAGAATAGCCACAAATTGGAAGAAAAAACTCAAGAAAGAAATAACAACTTCTGTTCAAATAGGTTTTACCAGAATAATTTCAAGAAATATTCATTACTATGATTGCACAGCTTTTAAGTAAGATGATGAATTACCTGTACATTTCTATAATTTAATCCTTTTAGAACAGTTGAAATTTGAATGTTTTAGCCCCTTCAGCAAGTTAATGTCAAGAAATGGAGCTCATTTCAAAACATGAAGGAGTGCAATAAGAAATTAAGAAATGCTGGAGAGCAGGAAAACAAATAGACCCGAAAAAATAAACAAACTACCGAGCCATTCAAATACCAATTCATGAGCAGTTGAACAACACACCCATCCACAATATGTTGTAAACTAAACTTTATCTCCACTTATGTTCCTAATCCTTAATTTAGCATCCCACCATAAGAAACAATTTTTTTTTTCCTTGGATAAGAAACGATAAGAAACAAAAAGATCTAATAGAACCAGGCCATAAAATAACAGCTTAGGCTGGGTAGACAGAACCCCACCCAAATAGCTACAAAATAAGAGCTTTCCAGTCACAGATAATCATCAACTAACAGTAATTACAAAAGAATTTACTATTATTTGAACAGCACATGAAGTATGTTGCGCACTGTTGCAAAAAGAATAAAAATAAGATAGTTTATTTTTTTAAATGCCTTTGATTTCTTTCCAGTCACAGATAATCATCAACTAAGAGTAATTACAAAAGAATTTACTATTATTTGAACACCACATGCAGTAAGTTGCGCACTATTGCAAAAAGAATAAAAATAAAATAGTTTATTTTTTAAAATGCCTTTGATTTCTTTCCTTCCATAAGATGCAAAGGAGAGCCCTAGCCGCACAACTCTGTAATATCTGACCTTGCCTTTAAAAGAACAACCTGCCCAACCCTCCACCATTCATCTACATTTCTAGAGATGCAAAGAGATAATTCGTATTCATTCATAATATACTAGCGGTTCTCAAAGTACAGGACCAATGAAGGAAGAGATGATCCATGGATTCACCCTCTTAGTGAGGAAATAGTGAATGGGATAAAACCCAATTATTGAACTTCCTTTAGCTTTTCACGAGTGTTAAGAAAGGACCACGGAAACATCTTCACCAGTTTAGAAATCTTGAAATTCCAAAAAAGGTTTACTGACAGGGATTTCAACTTCGAAGTCGAACAAGTAGGCTTTAGGAAGAGAAAGTACACATCAATTCAAGGGACCAACAAGCTTTATCTTTGAGAAGCCCAAGATGGACCATGTAGAGTTTCTCGAGGAGGGCCAACCAACTACCAAAGTATTGGTTGAAAAAACCTCTTCGCTCCTAAATTCCAAGCTTGTTGGTCCCAGTTTCAAAATTTCGATGCAGAAACTCTTTCTTAAAAAAGCATATAATTATGGAAGAATAACTGAGCAAAGAGAACCAAGTCAGACCACTTGTCCTCCCAGAAACAGATCCTCTACCCATTTTCAACTCTAAACTACAAGAACTAAAAGAAGGCTATGTCTCTAGCAAAGTCACACCACAACCTACATCATATTTTTCCTTTGGACAACTTACCTAGCCAAAAGATTTCTAGTCCGTAGCCATGGCTCTTCCCCCAAAGTTGCATCTTCTTGAGAAGAGCATTGTTTCTCTATTTGAGGGACCCCAATCCAAAATTGTCATACACGGTGGGAAGGGAAGACAAGTTCCACTTCACCCAATGAGAAGCAAGATTATAGACGTTCCTGTTCCAAATGAAACTCTCATCAATTGTTTCAAAGCCTTCATGACTTTCATGGGAGCTTAAGGAAAGAGACATAATGAATTAGTAGATTGTTCAAAATTGTTTGAGCCAAGGCCAATGTAAGCAATGATGTTACATAAATGTAACTGATTGTCCAAACAACCACTCGGAATTCCTAGATTTCCTAGAAAGGCTTTTGCGTCAGCAATGGCCCTCATCCTGGAACCAATGGTTAGAGGGTACTTGATTCCTTTGAATGATAAAGGTTGATACCAACAATTTCTGTATATCCCAGTTTGAACACAGGTGACCTCGGGATGAATTAGTTAACTAGTTGTGCCTTTGGCCCGCCTTCTATTCTAATGAACGGCTCAGCTTAGGGCTAAACAGGTTGCTATATTATAAATTGAAACGAGAAACCCAAGCTACATCAAAGCCGCAACAAAGATGCATTTGTAGAAAAGAACGGAAACGCATAAGTTTGATAACTGTTAGACGAATAATACGACTCTCCATAATGATATGATATTGTCCACTTTGAGCATAAGCTCTCATCGCTTTGCTTTGGGCTTCCTCAAAAGGCCTTATTCCAATAGAGAGAGTATTATTTGATTATAAACCCATGAACATTCCCGACGTGGGACTTTCATCATTCAACAAAACATAAACAAAACATTAAGTGAAATCATCACACATAATCGCAGTTAAGTTCTTTCTCTATGTCCTACAGAAAACACTTCTGAACTACAATCAACTCGGAGATTCCATTTCTCTCAATTAGCTCAGTAACTTGCCCTGCATTTCCTCAAAGAGCATACGCAATAGTTATCTAAATAGTTATCTAAAACGAGAAAAAGATGAATCTAAAACGAGAAAAAGATGAATCCAAACCGATAAAAATAAAAATTAAAAAAAAAAAAAAAAAAAAACTAATCAATATACTACCTTGTTCTCCATTGACTGCATAAGCGGGGAATCGATAGATCCAGAGTCATTCACTTGAGTGGCTCTAACACACATGTTCCGACTTGAACCCCAATTTGAGGATCTTCCATTAACATAACTAAATTTCAAAACATTACTACTCTTACTACGGACACAAGTGGCGGTTGTTGTAGTGATTGCAGCGGAAACGGCGGCGGTGCGGACACAGTTGGTCGTGAATTGTTGGGAAACAATAGAAAACTGTTCGTTTCGGTGAACAAATAGTGGAAGAACCCGACGGAACGCGACTTGCGGAACCTTAATCATCCTCGTCGAAGTCTTAGCCGCGGCTGAATCGATCGAACTGCTCTTACTTGATTGGTTTGTTCTACCGAGTTCTTGGTTGATCTTTGATGTATGGTCTGCACACGCTTAACACCCAGGCTGAGTTATAAATTTACCCTCGACTTTACCAATTATTTTAATAATACATTTATTTATTTTTTAACAAAATCGCAATATTATTAAATATTTAAAACGTCATCAAATATTCGAAAAATCAACAAAAACAAGTTGATATATACACTTTTTTATTTTATTTTTTTTATTAACATTTTAATTATTTTTCTTTTGGTAAATATAATTTTAAAGCATTTTAAAAACTCAATAAAATTATTTTATCTTTCAAATGTTTTAAGCATTTTAAAATAAAAATGGCATTTGTTTATACTTAAATAATATATATATATATATATATATATATATATATATATATATATTTTGTATTCTTTATATATATATATATATATTTCACTCTATTAGAACTCTAAAGATAATTTATCTCAAAAGTTATTAAATTATATTTATTTAGTAAATGCATATATATATATATATTACAAAATACAATTAGATTATAATATTAAATTTTTCTTAAAAGTTGATATGTAATTAAATCCAATAAAATATTTTAACCCTTTAACACAAATCAAATTTTACCTTAGTAGAGGGTTAAAAGCGAATTAGTTGCGGTAATTTAGTTGGGCTAGATTAATAAAATTATTCATCAAAATACAAAATTAAACACAATTTTTTAAAACTTTCAATTATATTCTTCCTTTTTTTTTTTAATTTAAAAAAGATTTTTAATTTTTTTTACCATTAATTTTAGAATTAAACCGTTAATATTTTGTTTTTAAAAAAATACCCTCTTAACTTTTTAAAAGTGTTAAAAAAAATATCATTAAATTTTAAAAAATCCTTATATATATATATATTTTTTAAATTTCAATTTTTTTTAAAATTTATTTAAAAACTAAGAAAAAATACCTTTGATTAAAAAAAAAAAAACTAAAAAATACACACGAACGTTTCCATAAAATATTTGTAGATAATGTACGAGACAGAGATAATTTTCATCTATAGTAAAAAAAATTTAAATTTTATTTTATTTTTTAAAAATTTGAAGTATTTTTTATTAATTTATTTTGAAAGGTTAGGACGAGGTTGAGCACGTGCGTGTGGGTGCGATGGTGGAAGTTTGAGATTTGAACAAATAAAAGGAAGAGAATTATGTTTACACGTAATGTAAATTCCCTCATGCATGTTCACAAATAGCTCACAAAAATTACATATTTATTTATTTATTTATTTATTTCTGGAAAAATAAAAAAAAATAACAATAAAAAAATCCGAAAAGAAGAAGGAAAAAAATAGGGTAAGGCTCTGCTTCAACTGTGTTAATGTCATAAAGAATAATATTTGGATGAACATATCCTCATTATTGTCTCATATTATACTCAATATATCAAAAATTCATTCATTTTCATCTATTTTTTTTTTCTCTCTCTCTCTCTACTTTTCAATTTGCGCATCACAAATTGATTTGTCGTTGTGGGCTTTTCTGAGGGTGTTGTATTGTTAATTTATAGTATTTGGGTCAAATTTTAATGCTTTTTGTTTGATCGAAATTTTGGGGGGATTCATTCAATGTTCAGATAATCGTCAATCTGATACGGCCATGTCAGATTGATCGATTTTCTTTTCTTGCCATGGATTTTTGGGAGGGTTTTGTCGGGTTGTGTTGTGATTCGAGATTGAATTAGAGGGGAAATCAGAATGGGAGTGGATTCAGTTGGCGGATTTCTTGAATTGGGAGTGAGTTTGGAACCATGATGCAATTTGGGGGATTCGAGAATCGGTTCACCCTGTAGTGAACTTCACCGTCACTTTGTGTGTTTCTTGGTTTTGTATCTTATGCGTGAAGATTAGCTCCAATGGAGGATTTGGGGGATATCAATTCTTTGGTTCGAGCTTGATTTCGGGCCTTGGTTAATGGCTAAGGAAGAAGCTAGAACTACTGATGGTGCTGACCGTCGTCAACCTGCACAATTGAGCGCCGAATGCGACTCGCCGGCTGCTTCGACATCGGCGTCTCTAGGATCGCTGTGGCATCCTAGGCAACTTGGTTTTGGTCCTTATTTGCATCGGGAAGATGCTGCCGCGAAGCCCCAAGATTCGCGTTTTGCCGCCAGAATACCCGTAAGTTCTTGTTTTATCCTGTAAATGCTTATTCTTTCAGTCTGCATGTTAGATACCGAACTTTATAGTAGTTTTAGTGTTCTGTTCCTAAGTTGTCTCTATGACGTGGTACTACACAGTTGAATTTCTCAGCCCAAGGGGGTTCAATTTTAAGCTTGTGAGTTAACCAGGCTTGGGAAGTGGGTAGCTTAGTTTGGGGCGGGGGTGGAGGGGGAGGTTTGTTCTTGCCAGAATAATACTGATTGTTGCTAAATTGTCATTGAAACGTTTAGTTCTGGACTACTTGTCTATGTCATTCAGCATAGAACATGTTATACGTTCCTTAGAGACTTCTAGAGCTATTTGTTGCCGTTGTAGTAGCAGGAAGGTCTCTCTTTCAGTAGCCTATTTGATTACTCGTTTGTAGCTGTAGAAGTAGGCATCATTGTACGAAAATTGGTTGTATGTGTGATTTTTTTTTTCAAACACTACCCCATATTTATATTGTACCTCTTTTGAAAATTGTAGAAATTCCATGGTCTTTGATGCTGATGATTATCAAATGTTAAAGGTCGGGAATTGTGTAAAAGAAAATCAAGTGTCAAAGGATAAAAAAGTCTTTGAAGATCGATAGATTTGATGAACTTCTTATCTTATTTTTTTACTTTCTAGTTGGGTTTCTTGCTATAGTTAAAATCCAGTTAGAGTTCTAGATAGATTTTAATTTGGACATTGTTTAAATAATACTGTAGAAAATGAAGCCCGATTTCCAACAATTTCAGTATTCTGAGCCAGCTTACGGATTCATTCATTCAAGTCAAAAGGTGGACTTCTAAGTTGTGATAGTGAATTGTATGGATAATAGGAAGGCATTGTCGTACTCTCCTTGGACATTTGTTTTGAAACTGAAAAAATACCTATGGTTTTAACTAGAGCTCTCTTTTATTCTCTCTTGCTTTATCTCTAGGTTCATTTTGTCTTGTATGTGATTGTGGAGACCGTATGATGGAGTTTAGCAGTGCAGTCTGAAATAATTTTTTCTATTAGTTTAGCCTTTTGGTTTGTTGGGGTTTCGAGTCCAAAGGGAGGATAAGACAAAATTTTCATCTTTTTAGATTGGATTGCTTCAAAAGCAGGTGCACTGGCTGGAATGGCCTTTAGTTGAGCTTTATTGTCCCCAGAATTCCAAGTCTTTTAAGAATATAAGCTATCTCATTCTCATGGTGGCATTCACACAAAAGATGTGGTCAAAGAAGGGTTCCATATCAGACCCTTCTCCAAGCACGTCTATGTGCCTCAAGAACAATGAATCTTAAGCCCACCTTTTTGTTCTCTGCCCATTTGCTAAAAAATTATGGAACTCATGCTCAACAGCTTTAAATGGTGAGAGGTCCACGACGTTACCGTCACCATTGGCTGATTTCCTTTACATTTTTTTTTTTTACCGGGGATCCTCTTCAGGAGGAGAAGATAACTTTATGGCTTCATTTAACTTGGGCGTTCTTTGGAGGATTGGCTATTGAAGCAATGGAAGAATTATGGTTGTCGCTCTTCACAGTTTTTTATAGTACGCCTTCTCTGATCGACTTAGATTGAATACCTTTTGTTTAGATCTCTCCTTCTAGGCTTAGGGCCTCATCTTTATCCCTAAGGCTTTTACTTTCTCTCATTTTATCGGATCTATACATTGTCCTTCCTTTTTTGTTTTTTTTTTGTTTTAATAATATATATTTTTTTATTTATACATATACAAAAAAAAAAAAAAAAAAAAAAATTACTTGAGGTGTCAAAACACATATTGATGCATTGGAGTTTAAAAGGTAAAAAATGATGTGGCTTAATTATGTGCGTAATTGTGATAACAATCTTTTCTCTAAATTTTGTTTTTCTATTCATATTCTTTTTTCATTGCTCGTCATTTAAATTTTACACAAGTTTATAGTTGAGGCAGATTACTAAGATAGTCCAAGATATTGAACCTTAATTTAATATGGGTCATTTATTACAATGTCCATCCTAGGGCGATATAATTTGTATATTATCGTATTAAGAATTGATACTGGTTCAATGAGAAATAGCAATCTGTTGTTCTGACGTAAAACTTTTGATTGTTCAGCTGGTTGCTAGATTAACCAAGGACATAGTTGAAACATACAGAAAATGCAATCCAGAGTTTAAATATTCAGAAGAGTTAAATCTGAAGAGATATTTGACGAGCCCATCTATTGGAGTCCTCAATGATGACTATGATAATGTGAACTCAGATCTTATTTTGGCGGTGAACTCTGTTTTACTCAATTTTGACACACAACGAAGGTTTGTGTGTTTCCTGAATGAAACTCTCAATCCTTATTTTCCACTAATTTTCTTGTTCTGCACACTGTTTCTACCATGCATCTGCAGGGACTGTGTTGAACTTTCTTTAGTTGAAGTCAGCATTTGATATCTTTATTGGCCTCATAGTTGTACATATCTAATCCTGATTTTTTTTGGGGTCTGCAATGCAAGATATCAGCATACATATTGACTAGAACTTAGATCTTGTATTAAATTTAAGTTGAGTTCAAAGATAATTTGGTCACCAAGAAGTTATTTAGGATATATAGGTTGTATCATCGAGAAGCTATGTCTTGCTTCTTATTCTTGAGTGAAGTTACCTAAAAAAGGTATAGGAAACGAAAAATAAAAGTTATTCCAACAATGACAAATAGGGGATGAAAAGAAGTCCTAAAGTGAGTGAAGATTGCCAATATGATGGACAGATCTGTTTAAGATTGAAGCCTGATTGGGCTTCAGACCTAGTCTTTTGATGATTGTTACTGTTTGTTTTGGGCAAGAACTAGGAAGCAGATATTTCATTTATAGGATGAAATATATGAAAACTGAGAAGTTTTTGATTGATTGGAGTTACATAAAACTTTTTTTTTTTTTTTTTTT